ACTTATCAGTCCATCAGCAAATTAAATATCGACTTTAGGTGAAACATCTGTCCTGGTGTGTGGTTTAATTTTGCCTAAGATTTCTTCGGATGTCAGTACGAACTGGTTTGTGTGTGAATGAGGATGTGGAAATCACATGAGGTTGTGATTGTTTGAGTCCATCCCTACTCCAATTATGATCAGTATAGAAGCGAAGGATTTTAAATAAGACGCTCGAATTGGCTTCGAGTTTGACATTTGATACCTGCACGCACAAGAAAATACAATAAACGTTCTTGCTATTTTCTCTTTTTTTATAACTTTGGAAGGATATGTGTTCACCTGTCTACAGCGCCCATTTTGGTTCATGTATATGCGATTCATAAGAAGAGCCCAGTTATGTAAATCTGAAACTGTATTCGCAGTTAAATTAAATTCACAGAACGCATTGTTGGGCAACATTTGACATAAACCACTCAAAGCATAAAATGGAATCCCAGCTCTTGTGATAAAAAACTGACACATGGCGATGTGGCGCTCCATCCTTTTTCCTCCCGTAGATTTCCTTCTCAGGATACTGCAGTTATTTCCACAACTCAGTAGTTCTCCGGTGTTGATTCCTGACTCCCAGGTTTACCGATACCAGGCCCTGTCTGATCCAGATTGGACCTCAAATACAGGACAGGTGTGTCTCTGAAAATTTGTACAGTAGAGGAAAAATGTATTACCCGAGATGGTTTACAGAGAGGGACGGACAGAGTGACACTCCCCTGACCCAGGACTTATATAAGATAAACCTCGTTGACCCAGATGACGCTAATCTCTGAGAGGAGAGGATCACCTTCCCTCCCTGAGGTCCCTCACCTGCTATCTCTCCTCGCCCACATTTATGATCAGCTACGTCTCCTCTCTTTAGTGTTTTTGTTTTTATTTATCCATCTCTACCTCATTCCCTCTGCAATCACTTACAGTCTTAATAAAGGATGCACCACTGATTTGGCCCCATTCAGCTTTTTCAGCCTCTTGTTTCCTCTCTGCTGTCAGCTGAGGCGGATGTTTACAGAAATCGAGGAATCTTCCAATGATGGCTATAAATCACGCCGACTGACCAATTCCTGCTATTGTCTTTCTCTCTTTCTCTCTCTGTCTCTTTCTTTTTTTGTCTGTGTGCGTTGCGTATAAATGGTTGGCGGCAGACAAACGCTTGTCTATCGCTTCAGCAGATTTGTCCAGCATTACATTGTTTTGTTTTTGTTTGTTTTTTACTTTTTTCCAGCAAATTTGTTCCATATCTTTTGGAAAAAAAGTGTTTTGTTACAATTCCCCTCAATAATGATCATAACATATGATCACAGAAACACAGACCAGGTTGAGACTGAAAGCAGACAAAAATGTGAAGAAGTAGGTGAAAACTCTGGAAGGGGGACTTCAGTTTATGTGCTCTCTGCTCTTAGTTTGCTCGCATTCTGTGAATACGTGGAAAAAACACAATCGCAAAATCCTCCAATCATCTGTCTCTCAGAGATCAGGTACAGAAAAGCAGCGGGTCAGCGTGGTGGCCGTGCACCAGCGGGCTGGACTTCAGGCTTCACCGGCCAGAGTTTGGTGAAGGCACCCTGCTAACTGCTCCTGCCTATTCCATAAAACGTTTCATCTGGAAAAAATTCTTCAGAGAACGGAGGAAGGGGAAAAAAAGGGTCGGCGGCCCGATGAAGCCAGCCGCTCTTCAGTGGCTGCAGTGGAAAAGTCATCAGAGAACAGATGAGCTCTCAGACGACCGGGAGGCACGAGGAACTGGAGAATGAATGACAGGAAAATGTTGAAGCTTTTAAATAAAGGCAAAACAGGTCATTACAATCGCTTTAAATGAAACTCACTGTTCCTGATCCACTGCACTGCGGTAAGACTCTTTCACTACTTTAAATCAGAGCTCCCCTTAAATTAAGAGGTCTATTTAATCTGATGCCACGCCTCAAAATTAAGAACCAGAGATTTAAGTTCTTTGGCGCCTTTACATCAGTCTGACTTCTTGAGAGAAAACCGCAAATGAGATAGACTCCGGAGAGAGGATTATGTACAGTCGTGTTTGAAATTGAGACAAAAACTGGCTCCACCAGAAACACCTGAAGGCACCAGGCTCTCCTGGAGATAGCAGAGACAATGAGGAGGTTCACCTTATTGCATTAGTGGACCAAAGTAATAAAGGGTTCAAATGTTCCAAAACATATGAAAGAATGGCAATCCCCTTCATTTGTTTCACCACAATCAACAGCCTTTACATCATTCCATTGTATAAATCAACACAGTTATTCATTAAAAAATATTCGATTCGTTTTTCAAAAGTCTAATTTATATTATTGGGTTTCAATGGTGTGAATGAATTATCATGTTCTTTTGAATTTCCTAGCGTGTGCATGTGTGTGAATGTGTGTGTGTATCTATGCTGGCAAAAGGTGAAACTAAACCGTCTGTTAAATTTAAAGTAAAGGTTTTACTCAAACACATTAAAACCCAGAGTTTTCAAACTTGGAGCTCAGAAATCAATAGCTGTGGCAAGACAAAATGATTCCACTCATGAGCTGAGTGGTTTTGAAAAGCACCAATACTAAAACGTGTTCTTATGTTTTTTGAGCAGAGCAATTTTGTACCGTAATACTGAGGGAAAAGGCCTTTTCCTTATTTTCCAACCACTGTAATGATGCAGAGGGAATATTCGTTGCTATACAGAAGATGGGACAGGCCGAGAAAGAAGTCCTTGTGTCTTTTTTTTTTTTTTTGTTCATGCCACAGCCGGTCACTCAGTTGTACAGCATTCCTGCTTCAGGGCAATGTTGCGGTGGTTGTTTTATAAGGATGGCTTGACATGTTTTCAGGCACGCTGTAAAACAATGCTCACATGCCAACTTGAACCCTGAAAAAGTAACCGGTTCCATAAATCCTTCCCCCGGTGCCTACTGGCATTAAAGAAAATCCACTTCTAAAGCAAGGAGGATTGATGTGAGTATGGGGGATCAAAGCCAGAGTCCTTCTGCTGGGCAAAAAAAAAAAAAAAAAAGGCATCTGAACTTCACCTGATCATAAAACTATGCGGATTCAGCCACAAATTCAGTTGGAGGCAACTGACCAAAGTCAGAACATTCCTCCTATTTTTATTGTCGGTGCTTGTTAAAGACAAACTTAAAATGTAGAAATGTATTCTTTGAGAACGACGGCTGCACGCACACAGCGGCCATTGTTTGAGCATGTGCCTGTGCATGCATAGTTGAGCCCGGACAAGCCACTCATCTCTGCTAGAGCTCAGATTAATGAGCTGTAAATGCGCTTATGTGAACGCAATAATGTCCTTATCATGATTGCTATGTATAGGACTGTCACACACAGTCTCTTACTCATTGTGTGAATTCTTCTCAAAATCCCCTTTGAATCTGGGGCAGTTTGACATGTGACTACCATGACGGTCAGCTCCGTTGTGACGGTCAGCGGCCAGCTCTGCCGCTGGCGTTCGGTGGTGGTTTTCAACAGAGAATTTGATGATCGGACAAAGATATTCACCCTACAAAGGTGTTAAAGTCTTTCTTTTTCGAGGGGAGGTCAATGCAAATCCCCTCACATTCAGCCGCTGCACTTTCTGGCAGCAGCCGGCCATTTCTGCGTGGCTTTTTTCTGGCCGGGCCTGTTGGTCCCGACAGGCCCCACCGCAGGGATTCGCCTCACAACGTGACGAGGCAGGGAACCGATCTGGAAAACCACGAAATAGCTGTCATCAGAAGAAAAAAAAAGATACTCTCACTCTCTTTATCTTATTCAGCGAACAGCTCCCTTCCTCTTTAGCCTCCGACAGATTAATGACAAGGGACGACATTCAGCGGAGTTTCCAATCTTTTATTGAGGAAAACATCTTAAACCTTTTGAACCCCACTGAACACATAACACGATGTAGCAAAAAAAGCCATTGAGAACATATCCTTGTAAGCCCGATCACAGATTCAAAAGCACTGCCACATCTGCAGTGTCTCGTACATTTATAAAAATAGCAATCATAGAAAATATACATACATGACAAAGATCTTTTCGAAAGGGTAACTTGTAAAAGACTTGCATGAACAGATACTTGAGACAATGGATACAAGACGATGCAGCAGACCCACAATCTCTAACCGACAGGCACAATCACTAGTTTACAGACTGGAGCGAGCTAGGCAGTCAGCTTGTTAGGACTTCAATTTGTCTTTACAATCCATCGACATAGACAGTCATTGAGAGCAAACATAAGAACAGAGCAGGAAATGCGAGAATGAGAATGGAACAAATTTTCAGTGAGACATTTTCTCTTTTTTGTTGCAAGTGTTGGCTGGATGTTAATAAAGGAATGAAATGTTGTTGTTTTGTTTAAGCTCTGAGGCTTAACAGCTCTTCAAAACGGATGTGGGGCGAATCTTTGACAACAAAAAAAACCTGACAAATGCTGATAAAGCTACCTAACTAATGTGGAACGGGTTGCAACTTGAAGTCTCCCTCTGCTCTCAACTCTTTTTTTTTTTAAACTTAAGAGTAAGCTTAAAAACGCAGCGCAAAATGCTGGATGCTGAACATGGTGGTCATCCCCCCCCCCAAAATAGGAACACGCCACAGCAAGTTATACTTTCACCATAACAGAGACGTATTTGTAAAGTAAGGCCTGTCGCCCTGGAGAGATAAACCCCATCACCAGCTGCACCCATCTCTCCAGACTCCTCGCTCTCCCCTCTGGCTTTTAACCTCTTTCCCCTTCATTTCCCCCTCTCTCTGCTATACGCTTTCCCTATCGGCCTGCTACATCAGCAAATTTGCCTCGGCGGATCCTACGACACCCAGCTGGGCCACCAAAGGGTTTGGCACTACGTTTTCTGAACCTGGACCTAAGTTCAAGCTCTTCTGCAGCAGCCGCGGAATTCCCTGCCAGGGTGCTACAGCAAACAGCGTCTCATCATCCGAGGCGTCTCGGCAAATATTCTCCCACCGTGGGGCCACCCACGGCAGCTCGGTATCAGACCCAAACTCTGTCTCTCCTCTCTCTGGCTGTCATCGTCATCATCAGAACGGTCATGAAAGCGTAAGGAAAGAAAGAAGCACCGCTGTACAAAATATACAGGAAATATCGCGTTTATATTTATTCATTACTGATGATCTGAAAAATTGCCTAGACGTCCCCCTCTGGCCATGGCCACAACATGACACACCAGCAGGTGACACACCAGCAGGACATCGCTCGGAGGAGAAGAAAAAGGATTCACTTTTCCAAATATTCATATGAAGAATGTAAACTTCGCAAAGAACCATCAATCAAACGTTTTACTGACACTTTAATGCAAATTCCACACCTTTCCATCCCAATACCGACTGCACATGAGTTCACATATACATTCATAAGCCTTTGGGATACCGCTGCCTGTTGCTGGACTGCAGGTGAGAGTGGGGTCCCGCGTTCCGCTCTGTGACCGCTGATAAGCAGGAGGCACTTATAAACACACATATGCCCGTATGTACAAAGAGACATTACAATGGCTTCATATGTTTTTATTCATCCCCCCCATCAAAACGGGGGGTTTTAATGTTAGAAACAATCTGAGAAAGAAAAAAAAAAATCTTTGGTCTGTAAACAACCAGAATCATATCCAAATGCAAAGTCGAGATGCCTGATCAATATCCAAAACTAGCGTTAAACGGCACGTCACCTGGCAGTTCGGTAAAGCCGTAAAGCCGAACGCAGGGCGCTCATTTTCCCCCAGCGCCGCGTCACGCCTCTCGTTTTATCCAGGGGTGTGTGTTTATGTGTGTTGGCACTGATCTACAAACCCCCTGAAAGCAGCACCGGAGTAGCTTGGTGGGCAGAACTAGACGTGCTGGCTAATCAGTTGTCGACGGACTCATTCGGCTCCAGTAACAGTTCGGACGCTCAATGACCAGCAATTAGCCCACGCTTTCCAAGCTGCCCAAAAAAATCTGTCTTTTTCCGAACCCCCCCGCTGGCCCTGGGTACCGGATAAGGTGAGGCTGGTGTTGCTTAAAAAAAAAACAATGTGCTGATGTTCACTCTGAAATAAGCACTTAAAAGTAAGAGCCACCGATTGTCGAGCGACCGTTCGTGCTCAACGCGTGACCTAAAAATAGAAGCTTTTAAAAGCAAAAACAATCAAACAGAAGACTCTGTAATGCACTCGGCAGGTTTGAGGGGGCTCCCCTCCTGTTGAAAAAAAAGATCTCCTCCTCCTCTCGGCGAGGCGGCGGCCTCAGTTACAGGGCAGCCAGGTGGAGTAGGCGGCGGGCTGCTGGCAGGCGAACACCGGCTGTACCTGCGCGATGTAGTAGTTGCTGAAGTTGCCGTCGGCCACGTAGGGAGCGGGCTGGTAGTAGCAGGTGACGTTGGCCACGTTGGGGATGACGTTCTGCTCGGCCAGCACGCGCACGGCCAGCATGGCGATCAGCCCCAGGGTCTGCCTCCTCTCGTGGCCCATCAGGCACACCGTGCTCTCGTTGACCACCTCGTGCAGGGTCATCAGGTAGTCGTACTTGCGCTCCTCCAGGCCCACGAAGTGGTTCTGGAGGTAGGACTCCAGCTTGCGCTGCTGCTCGCCGATGTCGGGGAAGTCGATGAAGAAGCGCGAGCACATGTAGCGCTGCAGGGACTTCATCTCCGACTCGGACGCGGCCCGGAAGCCCCGCACCAGCAGGTGGCAGTACTTCAGCAGGCCCCCGCCCCGGATCTCCTCCGGGTTGCGGGTGCAGATGATCTTGTGGCGCAGGTGGTCCAGGGCCCGGCCGAAGTCCCCGTACACGCTCTCCCCCACGACGGTGGGGTGGAAGGTCTCGGCCATGGGGTTCTCCGAGCACTCGTAGAACAGGAGCAGCGAGTCCAGTTTGATCTGGAAGGAGTCCACGCTGAACTCGAACTGCCGCCGGAGGGAGTCCACGAACTTCAGCTCCACGTTCTTGCCCCGGTTGTTGGAGAGGGAGATGAGACTCCAGCGGTCGGATTCGTTACACACCTTCACCATCTTCTGCACATACGCCTCCTGCACATGTGTGTGTGTGTGTGTGTGTGTGTGTGTGTGTGGGAGAGACACACGGAGAAAAACGATCATTAACATCTAACAACCAGTCTTAGAGGTGCAATCCAGCAGTAGCTTTTCTTTTACTTTTGTAACAAGATTTCTGCACAATAACTGTTCTTTACGTGTACACAGGATAGTTGCGGGTTCTTAATTTCCAATGGTCTATTAATGTCACTAGAATGTACTTATGGAGGACCTATTACTGATCCTTTCTAAATTGGTTTAACTCAATCCTCTTAACTGCAGAAAACCAGCATTTTACTGTCACTAAACCACTCAATCCTGGTAGTGAAGTCTAAATTGAACAAATGCAATTAAATCGTATTACAAATCTAAGAGGAAAAAAGCTAAAGCAGAAAAAAAAAGATGAGTGTTTATTTTTGTCAAGGTGAGTGTACCTTTAACGTCAACGGGGTTATTTTCTCTTTATTCACACAGTCGGGTAAAAAATCCAGGAGACAGTCCAAAACTATGTCCTTCACAGTCTGGAAATCGCTTTCACCTTTCATGTCCGCGCAAAATATGAGGTCCAGGTCCTTGTAGCCCAGTCCGCTGTCCTCGTGCAAAACGTGGCTGGCCGCAGAGCCGTTTAACCGAACGTCCCGGACGTGGATCTGCTTCTCCTCCATCCGGCTCCGCACCACTTTGACGATCTGGCGCGGCTGCATCTCCAGGGTGGGGAAGTTTCCCCGGCCGTGGATCGGAATGGTCTCCGTCAGAATGGCGTCCAGGCGCTGCACTTGCTCCCAGCCGAGAACGCTGACGTTGCTGCCCTCTGTTTCGGACACGCAGCTGGGACCGGAGCCTCCGCCGTCCTCTGACATGGTGACAAAAAAAAAATCCTCAGCGGTTTAAAAAAAAAAAAAATGTAAAAGTGTGGCGTATTTCTTTTTTCTGTCTAGTTGATGGATTTCAACGTAGAGACAAATGAGCGGATGCGTCTTTACGCACGGAATCGGGTCTTAAAAAGGCAGCTGCAACTTCATCTGCGTCAGAACTCTTGGTATTCGAAATGCCCAGATGACACCTTAAACGCCTTAAAATGTTAAATATAATTTTTTACTTAAAAATAAGCAAATTAGAGTAGCTGCAGAGCGTTTCAGCTTGCGCGTGGAGATCCGCTGGATCGGTGGCGCCGCCGTGGAGCTGCTGATGGAAGTTGAAGAAGAACTGCAGACAGTCAACAGAAGAAAAGAAGAAAAAAAACGAATCCTAACTTTCTCCTCTGTGTCTTTGAGCCCTTTAAAACATTAGCCCTGGTGCTGCTGTCAGTGCGTCCGCGCGCCTCGCATCTCGGTCTTTGAAGGTGGCTGATGAACCAGGAGGGGGGTTTGCTTTCCCGTCTGTGACTCCATCGCCCGAAGGCACGCCTATGATTTGATAAATTTGCATGAATAAGCTGCTCCTCGAGCCGCACTTTTTTGGTACAATCCTACATCCGCCGGTCAAACCCCTTCTGGGAGGAATCCTGCAGGATTTGGACTCACAGAATCCAACATGACTTTAATTTCTGCGCCCGCTCGCTGCCAAGAAATAATTCCCCCTTAATAAACTCGCGTGCGCTCCATCTTGTTTTTTTTCCTGGATCCTGGTCGAGTTCAACAACACACCCCTGACACCCCCCTCGCCGCTTTGTGGTGAAATTAACCGTTACCTGCCCACTTAACGCGCAGCGGCGCGCTGCAACAGTTGGGTTTGCACAATCTGAGGATGTCAGCTGGATTCCACCCCGCCCCCCCCCCCCTCTGCTGCTTAGAGCTGCTCAGGATGATAATACCGTGCACCACAGCTCCACGGTCGGCCTTTATCATACTCCAAAAAGCTTTTAATCCTGATACCGTAAATGCTTGTTTGCATGGGGAAAAAATGACTTCCGCTTTACTCCAATAAATATATCTGGACTTATTTGATGAGCCATAAATGTAATCCTACATCAATGGTGACCCTTCAGAATCCAGCTTGGACATCTTGAAATGTCACCTTAAAAAAAA